TGGGTAGTATAGCACTCTGCATTTTCATCTGCAGTCCAAGCAAATGGGAAGGTCACAGTTACAGCAAATCCTAGCATACACCCTGTTACTGCCAGCAGTGTTGTTTGGAAAACGGGCCATACCGACTTAGTACAGTTCCGAGTTTATGTGCAGAAGTAACATGGTAAATCACTGGAGAAGGCTGAACCTTTAGCTTTTTTCTGGCTGGCACTTGTCCAGCATTAAACAAGGTTTGTGTATCTACTGCTTTAAAGACAGTAGAAATGCTATTCTTTAAAGCATTTTGCAGGTATATGCAACTTCATAGTTTGCAAGTTCTCGATTCCCAAGCATTTGTTTTCCTTTCAGGTAACAACCACTATCAAAAAAACCCAAACCCAACCTCAAAACAAAACAACATTCCAGCCCTACCTCTTCATTTGGGTGTTGATTGTTTCCGTTACAAGTTTAGGTTTTGCTACCTGGCCGTGCCTGGAAAGCGCATAATCAGTCAGGGTAGGAAAGCTGCAAGATTTCAGAAGTCAGCCCCAGCACCATCTCATATATACACTTAGTCCCATGGTCATAAGAAAAGGCTTTGACTTTCCTCACAGCAACTGAGGGCAAAGGTTCCAAGTCTGAAAAGGTTGTAAATTCAGGACAGTAACCTTGCTGACTGAAGTTTTCTTTGTCACCTACGCTTACACTCTGTGTTTCTATGGGAAGGAGAAGATCAGAGCAACAAGCGTCTGTGTGCAGACCAGCAAAGCGTGAAGGAAAAGGGTACAAGGGAAAACCAAGACAAAAGAAGGAGGCAGAAGGAAATGCAGGGCATGGGAGCAGTACCCGTTACAGAGGGTTAGGAACCAGTTAGTAAGTTAGAAATGCCTGTTTCACTACCAAGTCAGAAAGGTACAGCCTTCTAGAGAGCTTGCATGAAAGTGTAAAAGAATGAAAAATTGTGTTTCAGATGCTCTGTGAAAAATAACAATGCATTGTCACTTGAGCTGTCACACAAGCTGTCCTCCCCTCTTGCCATGATACAGGACAAAGTTTAATCAGTCAATAGCATTTGGGTAACACAAGCTAATATGGTTTAGGTTATACTCTTACAATTGCTGAGTGGCCTTAGCGAGACTGCTCACCCATGTGAACGCTATACTTCAGCAGATTCAATCCTTGATAATTTCCACCAAAATCCTGGGATGGACCTGGTTTCCTGAAATGCAGTAAGAGCCATTAAGAGATAGTCTTGATGCTTAAACACCCCTTTGTTAGGTGAAACTGTGAGGCTAGGTTATAGCACGATCATTATTACCTCCTACCCTTAATTACAATACACAGAACTTAAGTTTTAGTATCTCATTAATTAGAAATATTTCCAACTTTGTATCATTCTTGCAGTTCTTGAAATCTTTGAAAAGGATGGTGAGAAACAATGAACTGCACATAGGACACAGATCACTGTGGGAGGTAGGCAGTAAAAAAAAAAAAAATATAGTAGAGATGGAGAGGTTTGATTTGTGTGCACAATTACAGTGCTTTATATATTAAGGAAGAAATTTTTTACCATGAGGGTGGTGAAACACTGGAGCAGGTTGCCCAGACGTGGTAGAAACCCCATCCCTGGAAACACTCAGGGTCAGGTTGGACGAGGCTCTGAGCAGCCTGATCTGGCTAAAATGTCCCTGCTCACTGCAGGGGGGTTGGACTAGATGGTCCCTTCCAACCCCAACCATTCTATGAAGTTATTCTATGATTCTAAATAGCAACAGTGAGAGTATGATTACACTTAGGCACCGGTCTGCTTAGCGATCCCCACAAAGGGCCGGATTCCTTTCCCTTCCTGTATTACTTAATTCCCTAGATTTGAAACAAAATAAAAACTGTCTGTATGTTAGTCCTTGGCTATATTAAATTAACCATGTCAGCAAAAAACCACCCCAACCCCAAACTCTTGCCCAGTTCCTGCTTTATGGGTTTCCAGCAGTGGGCTGGTTTGAGGGTTTGAGGCAGGCCAGGGTTTGAGGCAGGCCAGCCTGCAGCGCACCTCTTCCCGTGCCAAGGAACAGCGCGAGCAGGAGACTGACCCGGGACGGTCTCTGGGGATTAAGAGGAGCTCAGCTGTTCCCACACAAACAAGCCCCACCGGCTTCATGACCTGGAGAGCGCAGCACAGGCAGGTTCCGATCGCGGTGTTTCTGGAACATCGTGCGGCAAAACAACAGAAAGTACCCAACCGCGTACGCAACCTGCCGCCACCTCACCTTGCCTCTTGTCTGTTTGCTTGTTTGCAGGGGAAGAGGAAAATGTACTAAACTTTTTCTCATTTTTTTCCCTCTCCCTGCCCCACTTCTTTTCGCACAGCACACTACAAGTGAAAGTCTCGGAGCCGCAGAATTCAATAGACATGAACACAGAAAATGAACATTTGAAGTCCATAAAGATGTGCCTTAATCAGCCCACTGAGTGGAATCTGAGTTTTTCAGCAGCATCTCTCGCCAGCTGTAAAGTTTTTAACCAAAATCTCAAAACTGATGAGAACAAATAGATTGCAGCTGTTCTTGCACTATTATTTTGTACATTGTTCCTCATTTTTTTTTCTGCTGAATAATAAGCATTTATTACATTGATCTTGAAATTATCTTGTGTGATTTGGCTTTATATTACTACTAGCATTATTCATTTTGATGTACTTTTTTTAAATATAAAGTTTCACATTTGACCATCATGAAATTCTTGCAGTACAAATTTATATCAGAATCAGATGTTCCCCTTTAATAGTATTGTGATTTTTCTATGTTCTTTAATTATTATTTCCCAATTTTATTTTTGTGCACGAAAGTTAATATATTATGTAATTTGTGGCACAGGTCACCATGTAAAGATTTATGGTAATAACAATTCAAACAAATCTGTAACAGGTGGAGACCGACTACCTCAAAGAAAAGCAGTAAAAAGTTAAATTACCTGAGGAGATCTCCTTCACAAACTGATTGAAATGTATCGAACCACCAGTTGGTTTCTGCAGTGTGCAGTCCTCTTCATTGATCTTGAGAACTTCTGTGTGACAGTGTTTAATGACCATAATGTCTAAAAAAAGGCCAAGCCTGCAGGAGAATCTCTTGAAAGATTGTCATTCAACAAATCTGTATCTGCACTTTTTGAGGTTTCTGCTAAATGGTCTTTCTTCCCCTTTTAGTTTTATGAATTTATGCCTGCCACCATTAAAATGGATGTAAATGCTCTTCCTATTTCTTTTTCTTTTTTTTTTTTTTCCTGTGTGCTTTGGAAATTCAATGTAAACATCAAAATTTTAAACTCTACTCAAAGTAGTAGTAAATGGTTGTAGCTGACTACATTGTAGACATGCCATGCTTACATCAGCTTCAGCAAGCTTCATGTACTTCATTCATCAAAACTTTATTAATAGAGCTATAACAAAAGTGTTAGAATAAAACCATATGATACATTTCTCTTTTCTGGAGTCATACATTCAGTGGCTAGAGTAGAGGCTTCTTAATTCAACTTCTTAATATTGCCTGTCCTTAACTTGCCAAGGACTAATTTCCCAGAAGAAAATTTCCTTGGAAGACACTCTATTGTATAAAACAAAGGTTTTAAAGATTCACTTAAAATTATCATCTTACTTAAACCGAAGATGCAGCAGTCGTTCTTCACAGAAGTCTGTTGGTTTGCAGGTGCAATCCAGTAACTGAAATAAAAAGGTTGTTGTGCATCTCGGTAAGTCTCACAACATCACATAAGGATATTGAGTCACTGAAGTGTCAGACAGTGCGGAATGAGATTAAAAGAATGAACATTCCTCATCACACCACACTGTCTAGAGGGTCTTTATGTATCTCAACTGTTTAATGCACTTGGATTATGTGGGGCAAGAAAGCCAAAAAGGGAATTAAACTTCCCAGGGGAGAGGCACTGAAGCCGAGTTCAGTGGAGCCGCACCAAGGCACAAAGAACAGGAAGGCGTCAGGGCTGTCCAAGGGGGACAGAAGAGTCTTACCAGCAGTAGAACTAAGGCAGCCGGGGTCTTGTTCGTGTGCCTGAAGGAGGAGCTGCCACGTGGGTTTTCTCATCTCAAAAGACCGAGTCAATACCAGAACCTTTCTGTTATGGACGCATCTCTCACCTCCAAGCAGCTGTCTGGTTTTGTTGACTTTTAACAATTATGATCCCTTCCTTGTATCATACTGAGTTTAAATTGGCTGATGAGTTCAAAAGTTTTCAGGTAGGAGTCAGATACAGCTATGACCCAAGCTCATTAACCACTTCTGTAAGTCAGATAATAAACAACAAAACTAGAGAAATAAATGTTCTTGGTGCAGCACTTGCCCTTCATCTTGAGATAGCGACCAGCCTAGGGAGACTTACCAAGAAAAAGTCTTTTAGTTTATAGCCTGAAGAGACTGGCTAGGCAAGCAAACAAAAACAATATCACAAAACTGGTTTTAAGAAACAAAAAAAATAGTGTAGGAATAAACATGGCAGCATTTTAAGTTTGACAACAGTGGACCACTGCTATTTTATCATTATTTAATACGGAATCGAGTCTAGTGTGGCTCATGTTTGACACCTTGTTGTGTTTAGCCAGCAAAGAGATTATTGCTAATAATCAGCTTTGAAAAATACAGCAGACATCTGTTTGTCCTACCCTGCAATTAAGCTGCTATCCCTCCTCGAAAGGTGAAGTAATGTTGCAAGAGCGTACCAAAAGCGTCCTTGACAAGGAGCAGAGCAGGGGAAGCACCCAAAGGGGCTGGAAATCACATGCCAGTTGCTGGTCAAGTTTCTAGCCTGAAAGAGGATCACGGGGTCATTCAAGCACAGGAGGACCTCAGGAGGTCCGTAGTTCTACATCCTGCTCAAAGGCAGGCCAGCTGCAAGGCCAGAGCAGGTTGTTCAGGACTTTGGCTAACCAGGTCTTAAAAACCTGCACAGCCTCTCTGGGCAACCCCTCCCAGCTGTTCTCAACCTGTCCCCCTGCCTTTGTATCCTTGTAGTCTGGTCTGAATTTCGACTTGTGCCCGTTGTTTTTTGTCCTCCCATCACGTGCAACAAAGAGCCTGGTTCCATCTCCTCACCAGACTCCTGGTGGGTAACTGGGAGTCCCCCCAGCACCCGCAGGCTGAACAAGCCCAGCTCCCTCGGCCTCTCCCCCCAGGACAAGCGCTCCAGCCCCCAGCCAGCTTGGGGCCTTCACTGAGCCCACTCCGGTTTGTCACTGTCTGCCTGCTGTTAAACACACGCCAGCGAAGCCATACCCACAGCGGACACCCTGACTGAGAGGTGGCTTCGGGGAAACCTGATCTTTTCAGTACAGCATTCCCAGGAGACGCCAGAGACAGAACCGGCGTGTGGCAAGGCACAACCAAACAGCAAGGTGGCGAAACGGAAGGTCTTCAATTTGTTCAGGAAGGCAGGCCCAGAGAAGCCTTTTTTTATCCCTCCTGCTTTTCCTAGAAACCCATTTTAACCAAAAATAAGAGTGGACTAGCAGCAGTGGTGCGCTGTTCTGCCACTAATACACTTCCAAACCACTCATGAGAGTGAGGGTGAGAGAAATTAAAAATAAAAAAAAAACCCAACCAACTCAACAAAACTTTAAAGCACAAGGGAATCTCTGACTGACAATCAACTGAGAAAACCTGAATTTGCACTTCACCCTTTTGAACTATGCTCAGGGAGCGTTCAAGGGGGCAGACACTGCCTCTGATCTCGAATGGCTGCATGTGTGCAAACTCACGCTAGAACACAAGTTGGGGAGTTGAAGGTAAGAACTATGAAAAGAGGGAGCTCAGGACTTCAAAATTCTGTTTAAAATTAATAATTTATCACAGTTACATAAGCTTCTGGATAGCAAATATCAGCAAGAAAGTGTGTCATGGCATTACGTGGTTTGACAAGTTTCCAACAAAAACTGAAAGGGAGGAAAAGCAACACAATCCTTTCTGTTCTCTATATGCAAGCTTGAAAATAGTTTGGGCATCACCCTTGGGGAATACTACTTCTCACCTGTGTCCCTCAGCCATCTCTGAGAATTCCCAAAGATCATTTACAGTATTTTACCTATTTTAAATGCAAGTTCCTTAGACAGCTACATTTGGCAGCAGTAGCTGAGATATGTGTGTCAAGCAATGGACATGAATTTTCTGACTGCCTTGGAAATCCTCTATCTTGAAGACATCATTGACAGTTTCCAGACCAACACACAAGCATTTCCAGAGTGAATCAGCTCGGCCGCCAGTGACTACCATGGACAGTTTAAAGTTAATCGTCTGTTGTCTCTGTAAAACTCATGACTATTCCTCAACGTGTCCTTCGAAAAAGGATTGTGAACTTCAAAGCTACAAAGAAATCACAATTGTACACAGTCCTTACAAAGTATTTGATTTTTTTGCCCTTTCTGTAAATAAGTATTCCTTTCCTTATTGGATCTGATTTGGTACCACAAATATTTTTACGCTTTACTAAAAGCATGTTACTGATTTTATGTAACACGGTCAAGAGCAGTAGCAGACTTCCAGGCTTCGCTTTATAAAACCAGTAACTCTGTTTTACCATTTTGACGTTATTTAAAATAAAGCACACACATACCTGCAGGAAGCAGAATTCACAATTAAGATTAATTCTATTTTACATTGGCATGGACAATAAAACCTGGTCAGCGGATGCACAGGCTAATAACTGAAGAAAGTAGGTGCATTAGAAGTAGGTACGCTCAAAACCGCTGCCGTCACAGGCAGCATCTCCAGGTCAAACATTCTCTCTAAATAATGTTAAATGTCAAAATAGCCTCAACCATTAAGTACTTACCAGCAACAGTGATTTTTATTTGCTGATAAAAAGCATTCTTTATTAAAAAAAAAAATCCAAGTTTTGTTCAGATAATGTTTTAAAATGTTTTTATTAAATGAATGATGGATTTCATCAGGAAAACCATCAAAAGCATCTATTTTAAAAAAATTAAAAGTGCCGAGAATTATAAATGATCACAATATAAAAAGCATTAAATATGACTAACAACAACACAAGTCTTATTTTTCAAGTCTGATGTTAACTGCCAGCATTGGCGAAGGACATTTTCTCTCCTTTTGTCTTCATTCATCTGCCTCCCTATTCAAAAGCTGTGAAAGATTCATTCTTGTCTTTTCAAGTGCCACTGTTTTTGCTCGTCTTGAAGGCCTGGAACTTGACATTGGGACAGATTCTGGAATTTCGTCACCACTGAAATGTAAAATATTTTCAAGTAAGGCAAAAAAGACTACTCAAACCTAAGAGTTTTTACATTAACAAACTTGAAATATGGTCTTAAAGAGAAGTACTTCTTATTAATTATAAACTTTTTGTAACGATGTTTACTGGTACTGCTGTATCGCCTGGAAAAGACAACCAAGTGTCAGCAGTTGCAAAATAAGGAAAACCCCCAAAAGATCAGGTGGTATCTAAGTACAAGCACTGAAGAGGCAAATGGGAACGAGTGACCTGGTCACCCACCCTGAAGTCCGTGGATGACTTGCTTGAGAAAGAGCTGAAAAGTTACACAGACAAAGTCATTTGAATGCTTGTATCCTACAAGACGGTAAGGGAAGGAATGCATTGCGTATATTCACTTCTCAGTCTTTTCTAGAAGCTTATCAACCACATGTTGAAAAACAAGAAAAAAAAAAAACACAGAGGAGAAAAAGAATAAAAAATAAAGAATTTCATTCCTCCACAGAACAGTTATAAAAAAGCAGAAGTAGTGATTGGAAGAAGAGCAATATTGTAAGGCAAAAATGTGACTTTTGTTGGCGAGAATGTACGTTAACTTTATGCACAAAAGGTATGGTAATAACGTAAGGTACAGGCTCTTGGGCAATGACAATAAAATGTGAAGCTGTCAAACCTGGTACTGGTTCAAAAGTACCAGTTCAGAGAAAAGTTTTTTCTTAAATATTTATCTGTGTATTAGGAATAAATATTAAAAATGCAGGTTTGGGAAAAGGAAAACATTTGAATCACGTGTCCTTGCTAGAACAGACATTGTGGTTTTGATGGTGGAGAGAAGAGGATTTACCTTTCGCTACCACACGTTACAGTTGTGCCAGTTTTTCTTCTGCTCACAGACGTCACTGCTGCTGCTGCTTTCCGTTTTCCTAAGTATAAGCAGAAGTCTCTTTTCATATCACGGTATCATTTCTTTTCTTAAGCTAGCTCTGTGTCTCTCTTCAGTGTTTGATATTGCATTGAAATATGTAAATACGCTGTCACCACAGATGGAATGTGGTGACAAAACAAAACCAACAAACACCCCACAACGTCCACTTCTCCTATGAACACCTGTACGTTAGTGTAAATGACTGTGGCCAAGTTATCTTGAGATCCTGTAGTGAGACTTTTTTTTTTCTTTTTTAAATGTGTTGTTGGGAGAAGCTAAGAGCACAAAAATTTCCCCAAAACAGACTATTTTAATCTTTTAACAAATAAAATTTTAAAAACTACAACAGAGTATGAAGACTGAATGGGTTTTATATCTGTATGTTCACAGAAAGTTAGTATGAACTTATTTTATTGAAAACAAGTATTGTGGCCAGAAAAAAAAAAAACCTAGTGCATACCTTTGCCAGCTTTGCTTTTCGTGGATTTCAATTTTGCAGCTGCTTTACTTTTAACTTCATTAACTGGAGTATGAAGAGCATCTTTATTATTTTCTGTTAAATAGAACAGCACATGCAGAAGTCATAATCAACTTTTAATTTATCTTAAGTACCAGTATTTTAAATTTTGGCTATTGTATTAAGAAGCCACACAATTTTAATGCCACTTTTTCCTTAAACTAGAAACTAGATAATAAGGCTAAAAGGAAACTTAAGATGTCACTCAGCTATAACCCTGCCCCAACATAGGTCAAATCACATGTAAACTACTCCTGACAACTGTTTAGCCTCCTCCACTGTGTCAGAAGTCAAGCAAGCAGGGTTGAAGATCAGCTTGGCTGAACGGGGAACTCCTCATGGAGCTGAAGAGGTGAAAGAAGTGTCACAATCTCTGGAAGCAAGGTCAGGCTTCGCAAGAAGGTTAGAGAGCTGTGGCTCATAGATGCGGGGAGAAGACACAAGAGGCCAAAGCTCAGTTGAAGCTGAAGCTGGCCAGTGTTGTGTCAGATAACAAGAAGGGCTCTTTAAAGTATGTCACAAGCAAGAAGCCTAAAGAAAACAATCAGACTGATACTTGTTGAAGATGGTGACCTGACTAATGGGAATGAAGAAAAAGCAGAGGCATTCAGGCTTTTTTGCCTCAGTCTTAGTAACACCAATGGACCTCGGGCTGCCCTGTCCTCCGAGTCACAGGACCACAAGTGTGGGAAAAGTGACTTTCCATTAGAGGACACTGACATTGTAACAGACCAGTTGTATCAGCTGAATGTCCATAAGCTCGACATAAGCCAGCAGTGTGCCCAGGTGGCCAAGAAGGCCAACAGCATCCTGGCCTGTATCAGAAACAGTGTGGCCAGCAGGAGTAGGGGAGTGATTGTGCCCCTGGGCACTGGTGAGGCTGCACCTCGAACGCTGTGTGTGGTTTTGGGCCTCTCACTACAAGAAGGACATTGAGGTGCTGGAGTGTGTCCAGAGAAGGGCAGCGAAGCTGGTGAAGGGTCTGGAGAACAGGTCTGATGAGGAGCAGCTGAGGGAACTGGGGTTGTTTAGTCTGGAGGAGGCTGAGGGGAGACCTTATTGCTCTCTACAACTACCTGAAAGAAGGCTGTAGCGAGGTGGGGGTCAGTCTCTTCTCCCTAGTAACAAATGATAGAGTAAGAGAAAATAGCCTCAATTTGCACCAGGGAAGGTTTAGGTTGGACATTAGGAAAAATTTCTTCACCAAAGGGTTGTCAAGCATTAGAAAAGGAAAGTCCTGTTTAACTAATTCGATATCCTTCTATGATAAGGTCACCCTACTGGATGAAGGGAAGGTGGTGGATGTAGTTTTTCTGGATTTTAGTAAGGCTTTTGATACTGTCCCTGACAGCATCCTTCTGGACAGTGGCCAGCTGTGGGATGAGAGGGTTCATGGTGCACTGCATGAAGAACTGGATGAAGGGCAGAGCTCAAAGGGTTGTAGTGAATGGGGCTACATCTGGCTGGCGACCAGTCACCAGAAGTGTTCCTCAGGGTCCAGTTCTAGAGCCAGTCCTGTTCAGTACATCTATCAATGACCTGGATGCAG